TTGCAATTAGTTTTAACCTATATATGTTGCAACTTATAATGTTGCAACATATGTTGCAACTAATTTTAACTTATGTTACAACATTTTGTAAATTTGAAATCAATTGCTGTACCATCTTTAGTCAGGGTTAAAATTTTTAATAAGACTAGTATCAAGTAATTGATCAGAGCAAAAGGCAAAAAAACTCCATTTTTTTTTGAAACATTAGGTCAGTATTAAAAGGAAGTTTTCTTAATAGAAGAGGTTGATCTATTGTTGAATAGTTATGAACACCCTAAGAAGGTAATAGGGATATGATAATCAGACAGGTCAGTTGAAATAAAAGATTGTGATATTGTTTGTATTGTCAATTCAGTTGAACAGTACATATGATCTATTCTACTAAGTATATAACCTTCAATGAAAGATCATAAGTCTTATGTTTACATCATCATAATAGATTTTTCTGATATTAAATAAATTTCATTATACTAAGAAGCAGAAGAATTGATTAGAATGCATTGGATTATGATGCCTTTTAGGTTCAGCATTGAGGTCGCCAACTAAAATTATCTGCATAGATTTTCAAAAGCTTGTTTAAATAAATCAATAATCTTATTATATAATTTTTTTCTTAAAGAATTATCTGAAGGGGTAATGTAAGTGTTTATAATTCTAATATAATATTTGTTTTGTAATTGCAAGTCGATATAAATAATTTAGTTACAAATCCACTATGATGATAAATATAGTCTGCAATTTGTTTTTTTAGAATCAAACTAATACCTGTTCTTTGATTATTTGGGTTTTATATATTGAAGAGAGCGTAATATGAATTGTTGAGATTTTTATTAAATAAAACAACTGATTAGAAGAATTAAAATTTGATGTCTTATAGAGTAATAATATCATATTAGTATTATTGATATAGGTTTATTAAAGTTGCTGTTTTATAGAATCATTAAATGAGATAACATTATAGATGGCAATATTAAGAATAAGTGATAAGGAATATATTTGTATAGTATTTGAGGTACTAGTATCTATATTAATATTAATCATTAAAATAATAAGGAGTTAAGTATGAAATTTCAGATTTATTTAAAATACCAATGTAAATTCTATGACTTTTAAGAAGTTATTCAGCATCAATCATCAATTATTGCATAATATTGACAACTTTTAAAACTTCATTTAATTTTGTGACATTTTCTTGTAAATTGCATTTAAGGTAAGAGTTCTCTTCTTTAAGATTATTGATATTAATCTTGCGTGAGATTACAATTAATTCAGAAGTATCAATACCAGATTTTACAACATAGTCATCTTCTTCCATTTTTTTACCTGTTAGGCAGGCATTGATGATAGCAACTTATTTAAGAAATGTGAAGTAAACATTTAAAAGTGTTTTTATGGTTATAACCCTTTTATTAGTGAATTTGAAATCATCATACAGTTGTTCAAATTAGCCAGCAACTGTATTTAATTTTATCATAAGTTAGTCTAATTTGTTAGAATCGCTATGATCATATATGTTACTGACCAGTTTTCTATATCTTTTAGGTAAAGGATGAATATATTCTGTCTTATCAGCCTAAGATTCATATGCATAAAATCTAAGGAATTATCTTATATAGACTGAGTATTAATCCTTGCATTTGATTATGAAAGAATGGCTTTAGGAATTAGTTTAGGATCCTTTTGTTTATTATCTTTTTCATTACTCATCAAATGAGTAAAAAAAATAGATTTAAAGAATGTTTTAGAAAGTATAGTATAATTCTTGAATTGTGTCAGTTGGTAACATTGATATAAATTTTGTGTTTAACGATTTTTGGAATACGTCTGGCTTTTCTGCAATTGTCTGATCAATAACTTGATATAGAACAGATAAAACAGAGTTTACTATTTGGGTCTTCATTTTGTGCGTCATCTAAATCTTATTTATTTTTGAAATAAAAGACAGCATATTGAAGGTTTTTGTAATTTGCCTTTGATTTTGGAATTACAAAAGCCATAATTTTAACAGCTTTTCCAATTGGGATTAGTTGTCAGCTGTTTGTGTTAATTAGTAGGTTAGTGAGCTTTAGTAAATATTTAGACTTTTTCTTAACATTATTATTTGCAAGTGTATAGTGATATACACAAATCATATTTTTAAGGACAAAGTAGCCATAGATATTATCTAATTAAGATATATCTGTTCCTTATTCAAAGGTTAATATGACTTGTTGCCATAAATTTTTTGTGGTCATTACACATTAAGCTATTTTACTAAAAAAAGCAAATGATGATTTGACATTCTGAATTGAGATGAAGATCAGGATTTCAGTGATTTTGATCAACACCTTAATGGTGAATTTGGCTAATTTTATTATAGTCAAGAGGAGGAATGTATAATTGCCTATTGGATAATCTTCATTATTATTGCATGTTCATAATCTACATGTGTTAAAAAAACTAATTCAAACTATTTTAGTTTATTTGTTTTCAGGGTGAAGTCTTAAAGATGCATTTATGAATAAGGTTAATTAATATCCATTAAAAATTTTATTGGCTGCATTAATCTTTTTTTTATTTGAGCAATCTGAAAAAAAATCTTTACTAGTGCAGTAAATAAAGAATATGAAGGTATTATCCTTTCTCTTGAAGTTAATAATATTATTAATATTTGGACTTTTAGATTTCAAGAAATTTTCAGAAGTATCAAAACTTTTGTTTTCACTATATTGGTTATTAAGTAGAATAATAATTCCAGGTTATTTTCCTTTATCATTAGAAGTTGAAGGAACTGGGTTGACTTTCATTTGAATTTCTTCAGTTTTATTATTTTTAGTGTCATTAGTTGTTATGAAGTTGAGTAGTCTGAATTATACATAAAGTTAAAATAGATCATTTCAGATATCTAAAATGGTCGAAATGGTTGAAATCATTTTTTTTGATACTTTTATTAGACAAGCACTGATGGTAAAGTTTAGCTGCATCTCCTTCAACAGAATGATATGACTTATGATATATAATTAACATTTTAACCCCTTTGGTATATTGTAATATAGTGTAAATTTGCGTTAAACCTAGATAAATAGGTATCACTACCCAAGTAGACTGCCAAACCACTAAACCTCATGGTAAAGTACTTTAGTACTCGTCATCATTCACATTTATCACAACTACTGAAAAAAGGGTCAAGAACAACCTAAGATGATAGCCTACATCATAGTTGCATCAAAATTATTCCAAGAATCGAACTCAGACCTCCAAATCCTAGTTGTGATATAAGCATCACAATGGTTAAAGACAGTGTAATATCAACACCCTATAACCTGCGACTATTATTCAATCTAAGTTATATAATGTCTACCATTGATCCTACTCTTACAGGTACCCTTTGCAGGCAATGTGGCAATTGTTCATCATAGACTAACCCCTTGACATAGGTTTCAAACTCAATTGGTTTAGTTACTTATCACTATTACCTGTTGTCAAAGTGATGTGTAGATGAAGCAACCTTACACAGCTTATGTCATGAAAGCTACCATCCTTTATGTAAACAACTATTAAATAGTCATCTTATTCTACAAATTTGTGATCTTTAATGTACATGGTTTGTACATATTCTATAAAATTCATTTCCAGAATTGAATTGGTAAATCCTATAATAAATTAATATCATAATCTGCCTTGGCTAGAGGCTGAACTAGGATCTATTATAATATAACCTACAATAGGATCTCAGTTATTACCAACTAAGATAGGACTGTCAGTCCCTATTGAAATCATTTCGACATAAGTCGAAATAGTCAAAATGATATTATATCACATGATTTTTTATATATATATATATATAAAAAAGATGTATAATCTCGGTTAATATCACTCTGATTTGTATGAAACAACTACCATTTGATTTCTCGTGATTAGACAGTTAATATTTATTGATTTTAGATCATCCAATCTCGAGATAATCGCAATTGTATTATCAGCTGAAATTATAAATCATTAAATTCTACTTTAAATAAAGAAGTCTGGATTTCGAATTTGATCACAAATATTTCAAGATTGGCTGATCCAAAATCAATTAATGTTGGTTCATTGGATTCGTCTAGTCACGAGGAATCAAATGGTGGTTGATTTATACGAATCAGAGCGATATTGATTGAGATCGTACATCTTTTGTTTTTGTTTTTTCTATATATAAAAAATCATGTGATATGACGTTATTTCGACCATTTTAACTTTTCATTTTGACTTTGATCTCTAAAGTTGAAATATTTCGACTTTTGGGTTTTTATTTCGACTTCATGTATAGTTTGAAGTATCAAGTTGAAGTTTCTTAGTTACTCTTTCATTTGTTAGCGAGCTAGAATAGCTGCTTTGAGCTTTCTTTTTTAGATTATTATTAAATATTTCTTGCTTAGACATAGTTTGGTAGATTAGCGAAAAGAATATTTTTCTTTTATTTCTTCAGGATATTCTTATTATTATTTATTATATTAATATTATATAAATAGTATATTCTAATTGGTAATATTTTATCAATTTTTATAATACAAGTAATTTTATAATTATTTATTTTATATAAATAAATAATTATGATTAATTACAATAAATAAATTTTTATTATTGATATGATTTACATTAATTTAATACATTTTATTATAAGAAAAGTACATTTATAAATAATAAAACTTTTGATTGTTACAAATTTATTAAATTTAATTATTTACTATATTTGATAAGAAAAAAGTCTATTATTATATTATAAAAAAATAAAAAATTAGTAAAAATCTAAAAATATATCATCAAAAGAGTTATGATTTGTAGTATATCTTAATCAATAAATAATAAAAATCCACTTCTATTAAAAAAAAAAAATTTAGTAAAAATCTAAAAAAACACTACTAAAAAAATATAAATTTGTAACATACTTTAACCAATAAACAAGAAAAATCATATTCTATTAAAAAGAAAAAAATTAGTAAAAATCTGAAAAAGCATTACTAAATGAATTCTGATTTGTAGCATACTTTAGCTAATAAGTAAAAAAATCTACTTTAATTAAAAAAAGAAAATAGAAAATCTGAAAAATTATCATCAAAAAAGTTGATTTGTAACATACCTTAAATCAATAATAGGTTTGGACTTATTTTTTAATTTTAAATATTTTGGACAAGGTTTTGAACATATGTAATTGTGTCTAAAACCTGTCCAAAACTGTACAAAATTATCCAATTACCTAACACTGCCTTAAATAACACTTTTATTAAAAAAAAAATTAGAAAAATTAGAAAACCATTACCAAAAGAGTTTCAAATTATATATTTTAACCAATAAGTAAGAAAAGACTACTTATTTGTCTAAAGCGTAGCCGAGAACATTTATGATTAAACTCTATATGATGCAAGTTTATGTCTGTCCATCTGTCTGCACACGTAATCGGCTAATAAGATGTATTATTATTCTGTCACATTTTCAATCTAAAATTTGCTTATCATAAAAGTAAATTTTACTAATACATCTGATGTATATTTAAATTTTGATTGTTTTCAAAATCTGTAAAATAAACTTTACTTAATTAATTTTTTTTTAGAATGTATATTTAAATTTTACATGTCTTTGAAATCTATAAAAGTAAATTTTTTTTTATAGAATGTATATTTAAATTTTGCTTGTCTTCAGAATGCGTAAAAGTAAATTTTACTTAATTTTTTTTAGAATAATATTCAGTATTCATTATTTACATTCATTTTTTAATAACAAAATAAAAATAATAAATCAATTTGATTAATAAAAGAATAAATCGACTTTAACATTTAAAATATATTGAAATTATATTTAATAATTATATTCAAAAAATAAATAATTCATAAATAGATGCCCAGCCTCTTCATGATGAAAAAAAACTCATTTCAATTATATCGATTAGACATACTTGGGAAGGGAAAAAAAACCTTTGCTTTTGTTTGCAGATTCTGGTTTGCTTAGCATAGGCAATTATGATGCATAAGAGGCATAAAAGTCAAAGCCTAATATTGGAAAAGGTTGTGATAGATCTTAAAAAAAAGAATTTGTTACTGGCCTCTCGTTTGTGGTAATATCTCGGGTCTTTACTTTCAAAAATATATTTTTTAGCATATTTTCACTTGAAAGACTTCACCAAATTTAAATTGTAAAAGATTGCATGAGAAAATAGCCAAAGAGAATTGTTTGATCTCCATGATACCTTAAAATAATTGTTAAATTTTTTTTGCAAGAAAATAAAAAAAGGTTCTGATTATCTTGTACTTTTTATAGTGTTAAATTTATTTTTATTTTTCGTGTTATATTTATCTTTACTTTATTTGTGTTACATTTTATCAGCGTTACATTAAATAAATTTGGTTTTGTAATAACATATATCTGATTGTATCCATTGTGAATTAACGCTTTGGACATTTCAATGATACCTATTACCTAGTATTAAAAAAAAATTTAGCAAATTCTAATAAAATACTATTAATTATAATATACCTTAGTTTAATAATAGATTTTAGACATGTTTTTTTAATTTTGAATAAGGTTTTGGATATATAAAATTGTGTCAAAATTGTTCAAATTTTTAACACTGTTTTAGCTAATAAGTAAGTAAAATCTATTTCTATTAAAAAAAATTAAAAATTAAAAAAACTGAAATCATTATCAAAGAGTTCTGATTTTAGCATATCTTAGCTAATAAGTAAAAATATCTAAAACGCAACCATCCCAATTTGTAAACTTACTTTAATCAATAGTAAAAAAGTTTATTTCAATTAAAAAAAATTTAGTAAAAATCTGAAATTTATTCCTAGAAATTAAACCACTTACTTTATCTAAAAAAAAAAGGTTCAGTATTATAAAAAAAATTAAAAAATATCTTAAAAGAATTTTGATTTGTAATATACTATAACTAATAGCATTCTTATTAAAAAAATAAATAAAAATAAATAAAAAAATTTCTATTTATAAAAAATAAGAAAAAATAAGTAAAAAACTGAAAAACTATTATCAAAAGAGTTTTGATTTGTAATATAGCCAATAGTGAGAAAAGTTTATTTTTATTAAAAACAATAAAAAAAAATAAGTAAAAATTAAAAATATCTACAGAAAAAGTTCTAATTTGTAATATTTTATATTTAATAGTAAAAAAAGTCTATTTTTATTAAATAAAAAAAAATTAGTAAAAATCTGAAAAACAAACATTCTGGTTTATAAACTTATCTTAACTAATAGTAATAAAAATTCATTTCTATTAAAAAAAAAAAAAAAAAATTAGCAAAAATCCAAAAAACTACTACTAAAGAGTCTTAATTTCTAATCTTATCTTAGCCAATAGCAAGAAAAATCTATTTTATTAAAAAAAAAAAAAAAGAAAAAGAAAGGTCTAACTATAAAAAAAAATAAAATAAGATATATGTATTTTTTTTAAAAAAAAAAAACTTAAAAGAAAAAGTAAAGATTCTGATTTTCTAAAAAAAAATTTAAATATATATGATTTACTTAATTTTTATAGTAAACAAATTGTATATAATAAGTATATAGAAGACAAAATTCATATTCAAATAATAGTATTTAAAATGATAAAATTTATCATTAATTGATAAAAATCACCTTTAAATGCAAAATTTATTTTCAAATATAATATTTCACATTTAAAATAATGATCAATTAATAAAAACCATTTTCAAATTTAAAAATATTATCTTTAAATTGATAAAATTTATCTTCAAATAAATAAATATTATTAATTTATTAAATATTATTAATTTTTTAACGTATTTTTCATTATCAATTAACATATTTTCATCAAATTATTAAAAAATTTTATCAATTCATTAATTGTTAATAAAAATCTTAATAATTTGATAAAATAGGAGCTTTGCAATAGAAAGAGAGGAAACTTTAAAAAAATTTTTTTTTGAGTTAATGTTAAATCTGGACTTATTTTACAAAAAAAATCATAATTAGCTTAAAAAGTAAAAATTTAATTTTTTTAGAGTTTCCTCCTTTTCTATTGCAAAGCTCCCAAATATATCAATTAGTAATGAATTAACTGAAATATATCAATTGTTATCGAAAATCTGTTAATGAATATGTCAATTTTTATCAAAATTTATTAATGAATTGATAAAAATATGTCAAATCATTAATGAATTGTTAATAAAACTAGGTAACAGAAACTGTTAGAAGCATCTGAAGCATTAATCATCATAAAAATATCTTTAATACTATTTATTTATAAGTTAAAAATATGCCTAATTAAAAAAATGTCTGTATTACTAAACTAAAAATTATCAATTCCTAATTTTATTAGAATAATTTAATAGTATTTTATAATTGCGTATGTTGATCTTTTTTAATTAGTTAAATAATGTTCGAAAAACTGAAAAATTGTATTATACAAATGATTGATAGAAATATGATAGCAGATCATGCATTATGACAGATATCATATATATAGTTTCAGTTTTAATCAGAAATGTCCTGCGCTTACACTTCAAATAATGATAAAATATGTTAATTATTAATGAAAATTTATTAATGAATTAACAAAAATTTGTTAATTGTTAATAAATTTTATTAACGAATTGATAAAAATTTGTCAATTGTTAATAAATTTGTTAACAATTGACTGAAATATATCAATCATTATATGAATTAATGAAATCATATTAAATTGGTTAATTAATTGATGAAAATATATTAATTATTAACAAAATTCATTAATAAATTGATGAAAATATGTTAATTATTAACGAAAATTTGTTAATAAATTGATGAAAATATTTTAATTTTTAATGAATTTTTATTAATGAATTGAATGAGTTAATGCTAAATTTGAACATATTTCAGCCTAAAAATCATATTTGGCATATAAAAGTAAAATTATTTTTTCCAGCAGTTTCCCCTCTTTCTATTGCAAAGGCCTCATATGTCAATTATTAATGAAATTTTATTAATGATTTGATGTGTCAAATGTTAACAAAATTTAACAATAGATAATTTTGTTAATTTTTACAAATTTCACTATAAATTATTAATGAAACTTATTAGTAAATTAGTACTAATTAGAAATTTTAATTTACATAAATCAGGTTCTAACTTGATTTTATACTTATTTTAAAAATTGTAAACTATATGTTCAATAGTAACCAATCAAGTTTAATTAACAATTAGTTATCAATCGATTTAATATTTGATTAATGAATATTATTTAATTTTACATAATAATTATCAATTAGATATTACCTAATTATAATATTTATTGATTTCTATTTATTGATTGCTAATCAAAAAAGTGATTAATCAGGAAGGTACCTAATTGATCAGCGTTTGACCTGTGAGTTTCTTGAAATGTTAGACAGATTGCTCTCTTTTTTAAGCACTAACTTTTTTAATACTTTATCTTTTATCATACAAGATTAAATAAATAACTTCAAGATTCTTTCTTATCTATTACCTAAAGATGGATATCATAATTAAGAAGTTGCAACTAGGTTACAACTCTTTGTAAATTTATTTTAATATAAAAATTCATAAATAGTTGCAACTCAAAGTGTTGCAACTTAAGTTGTAACTAGTTAAAAATTTTAAAAAATAATTATGGAAACTATCTTTACTATTACCAGAAATTGCAATTCTAGAACTTTTTAGGATCAATATTATGTTTTATAATAATTATATGAAAAAGAATAATAGCATAAAATGACCATAATTTTATAACTGATTTAACAAGAACTGAAAAATCAACATAATAATAAATATCTTACCTTTACTAGTCCTATAGGTATAGCAGTATAAAATATAGAAGAATCAAATATCTACTCTTCTTTATATATTATATTTACTTATGAAAGTTTTTGCATTTATACTTATATAGATAATGAATTAATACTTCCTTAAAAAGAATAACTACCTTTTATTATTAATGAAATATTTATAATTTCTGCCAAATTAATGGATTTTATTTCAAATTTATATGTAACTTTTCACAATAATGCTCTTGCATTTAATGTTATAAATGTTATAGTAGTTGCTAACCTGTCTAACTTTTACCTATTAGTGGTTAGCCTATCTTTTGTATAATTGTTTGACATTTATTTCTATCCTTGCGAACTTCTCAATGTTAAAATAGTAATCCTGATTTTTACCACATATTAGAAGAAGTCTGAATAGGTAATATTTCTGCACAAATATGAACTAAAATACAACAATACTATTTAGAATTTCTTGTTAACATATCAACTAATACTCTACTCAATATCACACATATTGTAGGCTTCAAAGAAAATGCTTAGCAGATTAATTGAATGATATGTAATTTCCATCCTGTTTCTGAAAATAAATTCTTAATTTTTCAAACAATAAATTTTGTAAACTTTGATCAATAGCATCCTTTATTTTTTTATCCAAATGTTTAAATCTAAAACAAATCTTTCTTCATCTATTTGTTTGTCTAAATTATGTATCTTAAAAATTCACTTACTAGGGCAAAAAATACTGGCTAGTAATAATTATGTTTTCGTCAGAAATAATGTTGTTAGAATTCCCCATATGGCCAAATTTGAAATTTTTATTCGATTCGAGAATTTCGACATTATGTCAATTTGGAAAAGCAACTTCAATCATATGAAAATTCGACTCAGCCGTCGAGGTTGGTATCACCGAACCTGCAACAAAAATTCCACAAGAAACAAAAGGAATAAAGGATTCAAGAAATATTGAAAGTTAGTATTTCCCTATTCAAGTTTTCCAAAACAACAAAACAACAATAAAAATGCATAAATCAAACTAATATAAACATTACAATGCTTGATCGATGCTAATATAATTCGGATGAATTTATTCTTTTTTATTTATCTGTAAATAGTTTAACAAAAATTCGTTCGATTGTCATTAATAAAATAAAAATATCATTCGAGTAAATAGTTTGCTTGATTTTAACAAACAAACTTACTTTTTCATATACTGTAAAACACCTAATTAAATATGTAAGGCTCTTTAATAAAAAATACATTTTTGTCAAGATAAGAGTACCCAATACATAAACGGATAAGAAAATGTACATTATATACATGAGTTCACTACTCTTAGAAAAATGTCAATACACTAAGTTTTCAGAGGTTCCACAAAGTCGTATTGTATAGCAAAAAAACGAATCACTTTTGGATTATGTTTCCAAACAGCATATGGGGACTCAAGTATGCTTGAATTCTACCGGATTCTTGGAGCATTCAATGAAAAAATAAACGAAAAAATAAGTTATTCTGAACTTTCACATTTTTTATTACCAGTTTTTATAAAAAAGACACTAAATGTGGAATGCCATTGTTATAACAAAAAATAATGACAAACGAAAATTATTAGTCGATTATAAAAACAATCGAGGACTTAAATAAGGTTTATTAGAACTATTTCTTTTCAATATCGATAGCTAAATGTTTCTTAATCTAATGAATCTAATGATAAAAATAAGGATTGTCAACACTTAACAGTTTAACATAAGTAAAATTCTAATAAATGTTCATTTTACAAATTTATGCGGCGACTTCAAAAAAATATTTTCCTTATAAATAAAATAACAAAATTACAATAGATTTCTAACAAAGAGTATTGGAAAAATTAACATTAAATATATAAATATAAAAAAAATCTCATTAAAAAACACTGTTGCTATAAAATCCGAGTAAATCTTATTCTATACACTTAATTGTGACACATGGACATTTGGTAGCATCATCATCGACACATTCTGGTTCAGGACAATAATCACCGACACAATTTGGTTTAGGGGTTTGACGTTTTCGAAGAATGCTGAAACCCTCCGGTGCAAAAGCTGGAGAGGCACAATTAACGGCAATGAATACCGCGAGAATAACTATGATGAACAAAGAAAGTTTCTTGACATAAGACATTTTGAGTGAATTTTATTTGAAATTTAAGAAAGGATTGTTTTTTCGATGATTTTTTTTTTGAGAAATAAAACTTCCTGTCTTTTTCGTTCCAACATTCCTCATCGTTTTATACATTTGTAGATTACCAAATTTGTCTTTACCCTCATCCCTACGAAAATATCTGATCATCCCCTTTGTTTTAACAGGGTGAATCCAAAATACCTAATTAAGCCAAGCCATAGTTAATAAAAATAGAATTTCATGACAGAAATGGCGTTGAATTAAATTAAATGATCGATTATCCGAATGATAATCAGGGATGATGCGGAATGTATTTTGTTTTGATACGCATACATTTGCGCGTTAAAAATTTTTTTTATCAAATTTATTGCATATTTTTTTTTGACGACTAAGAATTATCACATGTAAAAACTCTGTTAACCAATATTAAATTAAGTCAAAACAATGAGAATTAATTCTAATTCTAAAAAAGGGTTGGAAAACTATTTTTGTATGTATATGGGACCACGATTAGACCTTTGACATCTTTTTTTCAAGGTTACTTGAAAATAAAGTAAGTTTGTGAGGGTTTCAAATATAATATCACTGTGAAAGGTAATTTCGCATATGGGAATGATGTGGGTTCTAAAGAGGCTAGGGATGGGGCAGTTCGGTTCGGTTCGGTTCCGGTTCCATGAACTGGGTTCTAATAAAAAAAAAACCCCCGAACCGAGTTCTCTAGAACCAGTTCTAAAGACCGGTTCAAAGGAACTCGATATTTTGGACATATTACTTCACTGAAAATGTAAGAAACTATATTTTTTATCAAGGTAAAATATTATAAATGCTTCCGAATCTTTTAATTTCAAAATATTTGTTTTATTTATATTTTCTTAAAATTATTATTAATAAAATTTACAATTAGAGAAATAAAAATAATTTATTTAATAAAAAGTAGTTAAATTTTATAGCGCACTAGGAAAATTAAAATCTATGAATTAAAGTAAAAATTAAAATTATGCTTGCTCTTGGCCAGATATAGGATAACCTAAACTGTTGATCCTGAACACCACGTAGAGGTGGCAAGCTCCGTTCAGGTTTTTTTTTAACGGGAAATTGGAAAAAAATGTATAAAAAAAATGATATATGATAGAGAGAAGCGAAATAATAGATGAGAGGGAAAAAGAATGTATATAGTTAAAAAAAGGGAAAAGGGTGACAAAAGTTAGATAAATGAATGAAAATTAATTAGGAGGGTCGTTGTGAAGGAGGGGAGGAAGAGGAACGTCGTGGTGGTGGAAGGGAGGCGGAATCTCGTGGGGGAATGAAAAGGAGTGTTGTGGCAAATAATTGGTAATTTCATCGATATGTTATAAAAACAAATATTATATAAAGAGAATATGCTAAAAAAAATTTGCACATTTTTATTGTAAAAAGAGTTTACATTAGAATCAGATGTCATTTTTTATATGTATTAACTAAAATGATAGGTTATTGATTTACTAATTATTTGAGTCTTTTTACGATGCAATTGTATCAATAAATAAATGGTTTATATATTATCAAATTATCATAACAAAAAAATTTTATTTGAAATTTGAAATTTATAAATGAATTTATATATAAAGAAAAAAATGATTTCCAACTATATATATTTACTAATTTTCACCTATTTTATTTAATATCCAACTCTTCATACATAATGAAGCCTCGCTGTTTCTGGTAATAAGCGATTTCTAGTTTTGGTAATTGTATTTCCAGCAACTGAAAACGCTTGTTCTGAAGCAACACTAGTTGCTTGAATTGTAAGATAGTCTCGAGCCATCCTGCTTAAAATTGGATACTCTTTTATATGTGCTTGCCACCATAAAAGTGAATCTGTTTCTTCATCAACTGGCAATGTAAGGTAACGGCTCAATTCTGATGATGTTATTACAATAGAGGAGCTTTCATTTTCTTTTCGTCAGAGTTGTGCAAAATATTGACGTGTATTATTAGTAATGTTGGGTTCAGAAAGTGGTGTTGTTTCAGAAAATTGCTCTTTATATATATCAAAAATAGTTTGAATATGCATACGAGCATTTTCTATTGATTGATTTGAAAAAACAGAAAGCTTATTTCAGGGATCTAATATAGCTGAAGTAATCGATTCTTTATCTATTATATCCCAATATTAATTTAATTTTTGTAAAATTGCAGCAGACATTTCACATTATGTAAAATCATTATTTTCCATATACTTTTCTAAATGTGCTTGAATTCCTTTAAATAAAAATTGAACATCACCTAAAGTTGGATAAGATGAAGCTGATAAATGTTTGGTAGCTTTTTCCAAAGGTTCAAGAAGGCGGTAAGTATCCTATTTTATTAATAATTAAATATTGAATTAAATTTAAATCAAAATTAAATAATTTAAATTAAAGTTTTTACCTTAATTATAATCCAATCCTCTTTATTAGGATAAAGTTCTTTAACTGATTGATGATCTGCAAAAAGTAAACCCAAGGCTGGCTCAAGTTGTTTTAAATGATTTAACATATAATACGTTGAATTCCAACGAGTCTTAATATCTAAAATAGATTTTAGATACTTAATACACTTTAAATTACATAAAAGACAAAGATCATCACAAAGACGAGTTTAATTTTTTATTTTGACCATTAATTTGTGTGCTTTTGTAATTGATGCGTGAACCAACTCCATCCCATGCTTTACTCCTAAATTCAAGACATGCGCTACACATCGATAATGTGAAAAAGTTATAGTAGAAAATGCTAAATCAAGATTTGCGACAATCTCTCTTTCACATACTAACATTTCGGCTTCATTATCTGTGGTAAGTGCAATAATTTTATCTTTAATATTGAATTCATCCAATATATTTATGATTGATTGTCCGATATTAACACCAGAGTAACTTATAGAAAAAGGAATAATATCAAGAAGAAAATTGCGGAAGCACCAATTGGAATTTATATAATGAATCGTAAGTCCCAAAAATGCATCCTGATTAAAAGTAGAGGTCCACATATCAGCAGTTAAGGAGCATCTTCCTGGAATTTGATGAAGGTTATTGGTAATATGTGTTCGTCGAATAGTAAAAGCTTTAATTACTAAATCTTTTACTTGATGTCGTTCGGGAATGAAATAGCGTGGACAAAAATAATTGACCATTAATCTAAAATAAGGACTGTAAATGGCTGGAGATCACAAATTATCCAATCGACAAGATATTTATTGTGATCATCTTGTTCTTTTTTGTTAAAAGAATCCGTTCTTTGGATCATTATGATGCCTTGTTTTTTTATTGGAGCTTTTAATTGATGCTTTTTCAGATGCTTTTGTAAAGATGATACACCTGTTGACAATCGATACTTTTTAGGACATCTTTTACAAACATTATATCCTGAAACATCTGGTGGATTTTTATTAAAATATGTCCAAATAGAACTTGACTGATTATTATTAAACTCATCGGGTTTAGTTTTATTCACACCATCCATATTGTCTGCATCCATATCTATATCATCTATATCATCCCAAACATCATCATTATCAACCTCTTGTTCCTCTTGCTTATCATCATTAACCTCTTCTTCATAGGGGCTTTCTTGATTATCCATTAGTAAAGAAAAAAAAAATTTTTTTTTGTTAAAAAAAAATTGTACTGATTAACTAACGATAATCTTTTTTTTAGACATTCATAAAAATTATAAATGTAGTATTACAATGTTCGTAAAAAATTGTAAATATGGGGGTATTTTTGAAAAATGTCATTAGAAGGAAATATGGTAAAACAAGTATTAAAACTTGTTATAAGCAATGAATAACGGCCAAGTTGATCATTGTAAAAAATATATTTTATCTCCAACAGCTATTTGATGATATCAGAAGGGTTCATAAATTTAATATTGGATTTACACAGGAATACTGAAGAAAGAAATATTCTTTTATTTTGTACTTTTGATAATTTCTTTCTAACGTCCATATTGGAAAATGAAAACTACAAAAATTAACAAAGTATCGTATATAAATGCTGTATTGGGTTCGAAAATTGATAAAAATACAGACATATTTGTCACATAGTATGGTTTTATATACTTTTACAAAGAAAAAAAATTGGGCTAAAATTGTATCACTTTATTTATTGCATTCATTATTTGTTCACCTGTGCTTTGCTAAGCTTTGCGCCTTCATTCTGCTTATTTGCTTTCATTTATTACTAACACTAAAATAGTTAAAATATGTAAAACTTGATTTAAAATTTGTTCAAAATCGGTTTCGAAATCAACCTGAATCAATTCCGAAACTGGTACGTCTGAAATTTAACTAAAACCGGTTCCTGAGTTGGGTTCTGGAACCGGTTTCTGAGTTTGATTCTGGAACCGGTTCTATGAAAGTTCTAAAATCGGAACCTAGAACCGAAAGAACCGAACTATTGAACCAGTTCATTGTAGAACCGCCCCATCCCTAAAAGAGGCGCAAGATTTACAAAAATGATTCATACCCGAATATCGAAATACTTGATTATACCTTTTTTTTTCGTCTACATTTCTAATGTTCCTTTTTAGAGAATCGGAATTATTATTTATTAGAGGTAAATTACGAGGAGTTGTTTTTTCCGAAAGTTTTCAGCAATTTTCTTTAACTTTTTCTTTGGTAAAGTCTTGCGAAATTGCGAAAAGTTCTTTTCGAAAGCAGAATAAGGAAAGAATTAATTAATTTACAAAATGATCGATCCGATTTTCATCTTGCAGGAGGCCCTAAAATGGGAAACATAAAAATGGATTGTAAATATGTATTTTGTGGCGCTGTGAAGATTTTATTATTAACCTTCAAATTTTTTTATTTTATTGGTTTCCCACTCATTTAAATGATTGATCATTACAACTACTAAGTTTCCGTTTATGTGAATCTTAGATTGCAAAGAATATATTTCCAATTTGCATCATAAAAAAAAATCATCTGCAACCTATAACGGTATTATAGTATAAGTAACTTCCCCGATAACTCTAGCAATGCAAGTTATCGACGAAAATATGTGGCCGTGTAAAAATATATATTATAGAAATTTCATCCATCAATAAAAAAAATTTTTTAATTGCTTATCCGGTTTTTTTAAGAGCATGGAATATTTTTATTTCGCATAACTGTAATATTTTCTTCGAATTGATATTTATTAAATACAGATCACCACTACTGACCAATGGGGCAACAAATTTTTGGCTTCTTCTGGTATAAATGACAACAGATATCAAATGAATGATACGATACGATGACACAAATGACACCATGAACAAAGTTTCCATGACATTTTACGAAGGAATATTCATAACTCAAGACCTTCAATCATTTAAGGTATGGTATGACTGGACACCTCCCATTCTTCCATCACACACGTATCACGTGGACGTATTATAAGATGGAAAATGGAAATCGGATGGAAGATCAAAATATTCTAGTTGATAATCGAAAAAAAAAAATTTCGGATTTGCTTCGTTTCCAAATAAATATAATACATAAAAATGCTTCTAAATCGAAGCCTTACAACATATTTAAGGGTTACCGGATTAAATTATGATTTGCAAGTTGCAAAAGGTTTATATCGATCGATCTCAAGGAGAAGTTATTCAAATGAAGCAGTCGCTTCTGCTGAAATGCAAGTGAATGACACTCAAAAAAGCGCCTCTCAGGACGGTGTAATAATTGAACCTGGTATTAATGAGAATTCCTCAAAATTAAATACTAATATAGAAGGAAAAAGCTCGTTTGCAAATAGACTTAAGGCCAGTCGAAGGCTTGTACCTTTACCTTCTTCTATGTTAAGAAACTGGGAAAAACTTGATGAAAAGTTACCTTTAAATCCTATTAATTTTAGGAATATAGGTTAGTAGAAGTTGATTTAAAGACTTATCCAAATAATAAAAAAAAACTCCCCATAATTATTAACAGTGTTGGCAAATAACCCCTCAAATCACATCTTAATTTTCAAGTAAAATGACCTTGTAATTTGAATTATAATATATAAATATATATATAGAATCGTATGCAAAAGGTTCATATCAAAACGTTCTTATTTCTAAACTCCCAATTTCTGCGATTCGTCGAGATATTGAAATGTTGGTTCATGGGATTTTCCCTAATAATGAAAAACCTCCAATTCAGAGTAAGTTATAAGTTTATAATCATTATCTATGATTTACTCAATTAACATTTATAACTTCATTTTACAGTTTATAATATATATAACGATCATTATAAACCGACCGGGTCGGCATGGATACATTTTAAAGACTCCAAGACAGCTTTAGTATTTACTAGATGCACCCATCAAAATATCTTTTATGGAAATAGACTGGAAGTCCAATTAAAGGTAACGATCTAGTTTCGCACGATCATTTGTAAAAAAATACTTTCCTGATATATATATTTTCTCTTAATAGGAAATTATCCCTGAACGAGTACGACTTGATCCATTAAATAATCATGTTGGCAGATGTGTTATTTTATCGGGTTTGCCATGGAATATGGACGAAGACTATTTATATGAATATATCAAAAAAATTTGTGACGATAAAAGTTTTAGAACCATCCAAATCTCTCCAAAGTACGTATATTTATACAAATGTATCATGAACTCTTAATTGAATTTAACCCGATCACGGCATTTTTTTTTATTTCAGAGTCACGTTTCCACATGATACCTCAAGGTGGTTGATACTTCTTAATAATAATATCGATTCTTATCACGTTTTTAGTAGATTACACAATAAATCTTTTGATAAAGATCATCAATTGAAGGCAAGAATGATAAAATGATTAAATTAGATTATCTCAACAAAGGTCAACATATATTGGTGGGATCCCAACAGAATCGACTTCGTTGCGTTTCACTCAAGGAATCAAGAGATTCCATATCCTAAAGAAAAAGTTACATATTTTTTAAATTATTATTATTATTAAGATCCTTTTACAACAATAATAATACTTACTTGTTCTGTCAATTCAAAATGAAATATATTCGCATTTTGACTTATTCGTTCTGGTGTTATGGACTTTGGTATAACGATAGCATCATGCTGATATCCCCATCTTAATAAAACTTGTGCGGGTGTGACCCCATTTTTATCGGCAATTTCTTTTAAAATAGGAAGATCGATTTCCCCATTCACCAACTTTCCTTCCCCCAAACTTGAATAAGCTTGTACTTTAATATTATGCTTTTTACATAATTCAATTATATCTTTTTGATATAAAAGTGGATGTAATTCAAATTGCAACACCTGTGGCACTACTGTACAATATGATAACAGTTCGGTAAGATGTAGATGTGTGTAATTGCTTATTCCTATAGATCGAACCTTTCCCTCCGCGTATAATTTTTCTAAAGCTTTCCAACTTCCTTTACGATTTTCTGCATGCTTGGGATCCGAAGGTTTCAATCTATGTGACCTAAATTTTATAATTATAAGATAAAAAAAAATTGAGCAAAAAATATTTTATGTATTTAATATATTGAATTCATAGTCGCCTTACCCGGGCCAATGAATTAAAAATAGGTCAAGATAATCAAATTTCCATCGTTTCAACGAACATGAAAATGCTGAAAGAGAAAATCAATAAATTTGTATGAGAATTTATCGCAACAACATGTTGATTGTTAAGAAAATGACCTTTTAAACAGCAATCATATCCCTGATCATTTGGAGCTAAAAAAAGGAAAGTTTACTCATTTAATTTTAAAATAAAAAATAAAATGCACCAATAGAATTTACTAACGAAGTTTGGTTGAAATAAAAAAATCTTCGCGTTTAAGACCCAATGAAGGATCGTCAATCAATTCTCTGATAGCTTTGCCAATTGAATCCTCATTTTTATATCCAATTGCTGAATCTATCATGTAAAATTAATGTTATTATATTTGAAATAAAAATTTTAAATCAAATTCATATATAGAATACCGATAAGTCTGTATCCAGATTTGACGGCGCATTTTATAGATTCATCAATTACTTCACATTTTCTCATTTTATAAGTTCCAACTAATATAATAAGAATCATGTTAACATTTGTAAACCACCTTTTAGTTAACCAAATGATGCTTGATAATTACACCCGAGCGCGGGAATTTTCATCCCATTATTAAGAACGAAATTTGGAATGGTCGACATTTTTGCAAGTTTTTTGTTTTAACGCCCAACACTTTTTTTAGATACAATCAAAAAAAAATCCTGTTGATTTAAAATTAGCCATTGTACAAATCAAGTAATACAGTGGGAAAATCTTGACTTCATTTAGAGATTTATCATCGACAAAAAAAGATCTGTCCATTTATCAAAAAATGAACGAATTGTTACACACACACACACAAATTTATTTATCTCTCACAAAAATGGTTGTGAATTAAATCTTTTTGATGATTTTTATTTTTTCATTGAGATTATTTAAAATAAAACAATAATGGAAACCTGCGCCAAATATTTTAAAATTTTTGTTGCCGGTGCTTCTTTTGTTTGTTCATTCCAATGTAATTTATTATATCTTGCAAATTATCCAGAAGGGTCAAGAGAATACGTAAGAAAAACCATTTTATGAATCATTTTACAAGAAATTTTTTGATTTTTATATGATCTTAAAAAATCGAATTAATTGGATGTATAAGGTTCCAACCCCATCCGACTATGACATGCCATATCGAGAAGTAACATTGACTACGTCCGATAAAGTTAAAATTCGAATATATGTCATACAGCAAGGAAATGATATTGAAGCACGTAAAAGGCCAACGATATTATTTTGTCACGTGAGTATTGTGATTTCTATTATTGGCATATATTGGAATCTTTGAAATTGATAAATTTATTTGTTCAATCGTTATTAGGGAAATGCGGGAAATATGGTAAGATATTAAATATCGTAATTAATGCAAAGTTGATTTAGATGATGAGAAAATATTGACTCTATTAATCATTCATTAAAAGGGACTTTGTTTACCAATTACGGAACGATTATACGATAACGATAATTTTGGATGTAACATAGTCATGCTTTCTTATAGAGGGTAAGAGAATTTGTAAATTGATTATTGTTTTTTAAAAATGTGAATGACTTAAAAGTTCAATCGTTTAGGTATGGATTAAGCGAAGGATCTCCTTCAGAAAAGGGGCTTAAAATAGATGCTCAGGTTCGTCTTTTGCATCTACTTGCTTTACGCTTTGTGTTTCGTTACCGGACTCTTTTTAAGATCATTAAATATTTAATTTACTTTTTAGGCTGCATTGGATTTTATTAAAACACATGATATATTCAAACACACAAAAGTGGTGGTATATGGTCAGTCGCTTGGAGGCGCAGTATCGATTGATTTAGTATCAAAAAACGAAGATAATGTCGGTTGTTTATAAGTTATGTGAGATCTTGGATATTCAAAATTTGCTTAACGACCTTGATTTATTTGATATTCTTTAGGTTTCAGGCCTCATAGTTGAAAATACGTTTCTTAGCATTGTAAGTTTAATACGAATTAACTTTGCATGATTAGATTAAAAATATAATTGTCAAAAAAATTTCTTCTTTTTTTTTTATAAATTCTTAGCCAAAAGTATTACCTCACGTCATCCCACAACTTCGTCACTTTTCATTCATTTGCACGCAAAAATGGGATTCGGAGAAAGCTATTCAAAATATAAAGCGAATTCCGATATTATTTCTCTCGGGAGAAAATGATGACCTTATTCCAAAAGAACATGTTAATAAATTATATGAATTAGCTGAAACCGAAGGTGGGAAAAGCATAAAATCGTTTCCCTATGGAACGCATGCAGACACGGTTGCGCAACCGGGTTATTTTGAATCGATTGGGGAATTTTTATTAACAAAAGTTATGGATTAATTATTTATTTATACAAGAAATTCTATAATATTATTATCGCTAATTTAATAAATTAATAAAATTAATGTAATGCTCATTGAACAATCACGTGAGACTAGAAGTTACATTTACATTTCACGTGAATCCAATTATAAATATCGTAAAATATCTCGCCATTTTTTTTTTTTGAACCCATTTTCTTTTTTTTTTCGGTACAAATTATGGGAATAGGTAGAAATTTTGCAGTCGTTTGCGCAAGCAATCAAAATCGTAGCATGGAAGCACATCATGTACTCACGTAAGTTTATAAAATAACTTCGTTTCATATTAAGGGTAGTTGTCTTATCTGATATTATCTTTCTCGATGATAGCAAATATGGCTTTAAGGTAAAATCATATGGCACAGGCTCTGCGGTTAGGCTTCCTGGGCCGAGTCTCGATAGGCCAAACATTTACCCTTTTGGAACTCCATACGATTATATGTTTAAAGATTTATACGATAAGGACACTAAATTGTAATTCATATCGCGATTTGATCTTTTTTTTTTTTAAACTATATTTAAATTTAATCCAAGCTTCAATTAAAAATTTGAAAAGATATAAACAAAATGGATTATTAGACATGTTGGATAGGAATAGGAAGATTAAATTGGCTCCTGAACAATGGTATTCTGAAGCTAATGAAACCTTTGATGTAATCATAACCTGTGAAGAAAGATGTTTCGATGCGATTTGTGAAGGTATTTTATTACAACTTGCAGTTTTAATTGAATGTTGTTTTGCGATAACAAAACAAAATTTCTGGATAATTAGATTTAACGGACAGAGGGGAGCATAAGAATAAACCCGTTCATGTTATAAACATTGACATTAAAGACAATCACGAGGATGCAATGATTGGAGGTCGTGCTATATTACAGCTGGCTCAAATGGTTTGTATTCTCACATTTCATTAATCATTAGTTGAAATATCGTATTTTGCTTTCATTCAATTTTTATTTTATTTTTATCTTTTGATAAAGTTAAATATGTCGGGAAATATTTGGAAAAAAACATCTAACATGATTGATAATTTTTTTCTTTCCGTCCCACCCTTGATTATTATGATTCTTATTGTAATGAAACAAATGATTGAAAATAAAATAATGTATCCCATATTCGAAAAAAAATTTGGAATTCTTTGGCGACATTCAGATTGACAATGAACAAGTGGCAGATCTAGATGAAACGATTCCGGGAATTTTACAAGAGTGGCAAGGAAAATATAAATATGATTTACTTCATTCCGTGGCGTATTTTTAAAATTTAAACTTAAGAATTAATCCGCTAGGATGAGTTTCCAAGCTCCCAAACCTTGGTCCCTAAGGAATGTTTAATGAGAGTTTGAAACGGAAACCAAGAGAAAATGAATGAAAATAATTCATTGTCAAATTGGCAATGAATGCCAAGTTTATGATTTGCGCTTCTCGTATCACATCAAATGAGGGGTTCATTTTATTCACCCCAAACGGCAACATCATTCCCAAATACAGGTTTCGATTTATAAGATTTAATTGTAATATATAAAGTGTCCCACAAACAGAATTTAAGCTCTAATATAAATTACTTATCTCTTTCACCTATTAAAACTGTGTCAATTTTCAATTTAAAATACTAAAGGTGTGTTTATAAAGCGTTGATTGCTGAGAAAGTTTAAAAAACAAAAAAAAAAAAAAAAAAGCTAACGAGTAAATGTATACAAATTTTGATTGCAATAGCTCGTCATATTCATTTGCCGAATTTTATTAGTCAAATTATTTAATAAATAGAATGAGATTATTTGATAAATCAAGAACCATTATCTCTGAATATTTAGGTAAATTTGACTTTTCCCTCTCTTTTATATATATATATATATTGCTTTCCTTGATTTTTAACTTGATTCGAACTGTAATTATAGAACAGTGTGTTAATAAGAAGGAAGATGATTGGAGTTTGATCATAAACACTTGTAATGCGGTAAATGCTTCAGAGAATGGAGCAAAAGAAGCAGCAAAATTCGTCAGGAAGAGATTGTCAAAATCAGTAAACGTTCAACATCGAACGTTAACCGTACGTTTGATTATTATTATAATTCTTATTAGTTGATCCATTTGCTTATCATGAATTAAAATTCTTTTAAAAATTCTTTTAAAAATTTGGAATTAGGTGTTAAAAGCCATGGTGGATAATTGTGGAGCAAAGTTTCATGCGGAGATTGCATCCAAAAAGTTTCTTGATGATTTGGAATTGGTAGCAACTTCTTCAAGTACAGATGATGTTATCAAAAATAAAATAATCTCATTGTTGAGTGATTTAACTGAAATGTTCCAAAATGAACCTGGTTTGTATCAAATATCTAATCTCTATACGAGGCTAACGGGGCAAACGATCGTTCAAACTCCAATTCAAACTCCAGTTCAAGCTCAGGTATTATATTATATATAATTTGTTTTATTGATATTCTTTGAATTCATTATGATTTATTCTTCAAAATAGAAACCTGTTCCTGTCTCTCATGATGTCGTAAGTGATAACTGAATTTATTGAACAATCAATTAAATTTGATTTATCTTACATATTTTAATAATTTTATCGAACCAGTCAGCAAAAGTCAAAATTACCGAAGACATTGAAGTTTCAAAGAATAATTTACAATTATTCACACAGACTCTGTCGTTTACCGATCCAGAGAGTGAAGATATTACTAAAAATGAGTTGATTCAAGAATTTTATACAAAATGCAAATCATTACATCAAAATATCATGAATTATCTATCTGAAATTCAAGATGAACAATGGGTGAATACTCTTCTTTCGATTAATCAGGATTTTTTGAATTCATTTAAAATGTATGAGGATATGGTTGAGAGGGGACAAGTAAAAATAGCAAAGCAAGAGTCACAAGTAAATAAATTCATTTCATATTTTATCTATTTTATTATATCAAATGAACTAAATTAAACATAATATCTATATATATATATGTTTTAGAGGCAATCATTTAGGGGATCATATTATTTAGATCTTGAAGGAGCTGGAGTGGGCGGTTCATCCTCACATGACCCATTTGCGGATCCAAATGATTCAGAATATGATCCCATCGTGTCGGGTCCGAGCGCAAAAGCATTAGGGTAAATTATTTATTTTATTATATAAACTTGCATAATATTTACGAGAATAATTTTTTTTTCAATTAGCAAAATGCCTGCGTCTAGATTTTACGATTCGACACAAGATTATACAAACAGCAATCATTCACTTTTATATAATGAACCTCCAAATAAGACTTCAATATATAATGAACCTCCAAATAGGACTTCAATATATAATGAACCCCAAAAATTGCCAGCATCCATATATAACGATACCACATTATTTGAGGAAGAAAAACCAGTTTCAGAGGTCCAACCACAATATCCTAATATAGTTGCACCTTTAGAGCCATCTGATTATAAACCTCCAAATAGCAGTAATAATATTAACGGACGACAAGAACATATTATAATTTAATATTTTAGATATTTTTTGTTTTTTTTTTATTTTCTTTACTAAATACTATAGATTTTTGTATTTTTCTTCATAAATGTTATTTAAATTCAATTTTTTTTTATTAATTCAATACGATAAATTACATCGAAAATAAATAAATATGTAAATTATTTCAAAAATAAATTAAAAAAAAGCCAGATTGATAAAAAAAAATTCGATCTTTTATATATATTATGATAATTTCTCCTTGGCACATGCCATTCTACGGCGCTTAAACAAGATCGTAAAATGACACGTGTAGTTGATTGATCATTTAATTAATTACTAAAACAGCAAGTATTTAATAAAAAAAGAAAATCTGATTTACAGAAAACGAATGATGTAAAAAAGAATAGTTATATTCATTAAATTAATTCATTAATGGAGAAAAAGAAAGTTGTAAAGAGAATATGGTATTTATAATGTTGCATAACATCTCGTGGTAGTTGATCTTTTGTTTGCTAATATCGGAAGTCTAAAAATTTTGTACAACTTTAATTATTATCGTCGGCCGATTTAAGAATTCTTTTCCCAGGCAGATCAATTAATTATAGCAAAAAAAAAGTAAAATTAAAAAAATAAAAATAAAAAATCTTTTTACCTTCTCTTTTTTTTTTTAATGAGCAATTTGTTTTCTCTCTCTCTTCTTTTTATAATTATTATTAATTCAAAAAAATTTGTTGGTTGAAATTTCTCTTTGATCCTCATACTGGTAAAAATCTCGTTCTTGTTTACCGATTTTCATTCATTTTCACATTCTTATCACTAATTAATAAACAATTCATTTATAACTCTTAAATAGCAAATAATTTAAAAATTTTTTTAATATAAAACCTCATTTTATTTTTTATTTTTTAAAAAAAAAAAAAAAAAAATAATTCTTCTTTGATAGAGATAAAAAAAATTCATTTTTTACATTTAATACATATAAAATATTAAAAATATTTATAATAAAAATGTCGGATCCACAAACCGAACAAATCGAACAAACCGAACAACCCGGACAACCCGGACAACCCGATGATTATTTCTATGAGGAATCAAATTATAATTCAAGTGGAGAAGAAGAACCTGTCCTATATGACCCTAATAAATTGACACCACAATATCATATACAACAAGCTGAAACGGCTTTACAAAATTTAAAAATTTTGGTAAATGATCCAGGATGGAAAAAAGAGTTCCATCATAAAAATGGTGTGATGGTTTATAATAAACCTGGAATTTCGAAAGGTGATAAATTACCAGTCTTTATGGGTGAACATGTAATTGATGGGTTCTCTCCGCAATCCATTTTCGCCGTTATTGGAATGAGAAAACTTTGGGATGATTGGTAAGTTATCATGGCGCAGCCGTTGATCATTTTAAACGTTTTTGATTGGTTCTCTAAAAATTATAATCATTAGGTACGAGGAAGGGAGTCTTGTTGAAAATTTAAACGAAACAACAAGTTTAACTTATATGGTTATGCAAGCATTGGCCGGATCCAAGTAATTATTGAGACAAAAAAAAAAAAATTTACTGCGGCGAAATAAAACGATTAATTATATATGTTTTCATTTTAAAAAGAACTAGAGATTTATCCTTGGTGGAAAAGATTGAATGCACCGAAAATGGAGCAATATATTTTGCAGCTACCTCGGTTGAGACCCCAAAAGTCCCAAGCATTGCTAATAGGATCCGGGCTCAAATTCAACTTAATGGGTGGATTCTTGAACCTTTGGATTACGATCCACCAAAAACAAAAGTTACTTATGTTCTCCAAACTAAAATTAATGGATGGGTTCCATCAATTCTTGCCAAGACATATTTGTCAAGGCGTCCCCTTGTGCTGCATACTATTGATCAATATTTGAAAAAGAATGGTTCTCCCCCATTGATAATTGGATCCACCCCTCCAGCATCTAGTCGTCCTTCTATTTCTTCAAATTTTAACTTTGTACTAAAGTAAGATAAACCCTATTTTTTTTTTTAATTTTGTACAAATTTAAGTATTTGTTAATCTAATTTGTCCGTTGTTTTTAGTAATAATCATAATTCGGACGATACGGAAGTTAAAACCCCGAGAAGGAAAATCTCATTTACGGCCATAAGTGATTTTGGTTCCAAGATATTAAATTCAACTAAACATCATCATGAAATCTCAGTCTCTACTAGAGAAATTCAAAATGGTTCCTTGCATCATCAGGACAATTCACGTTCGTCTAAAAGTCCTTCATCATCAACGACACCATCATCACCTATTCAACAAACTTCTTCGTCAACAATTCAATCATCGCCTTTTCAACAAGAATCTTCGACAACGACACAATCATCGCCTATCCAACAAGATTCTTTAATTACGCCGCAATCATTGCCTATTCAACAAGATTCCCCGACAACGGTACAATCATCGCCTATTCAACAAGAATCTTCGACAACGGTACAATCATCGCCTATTCAACAAGAATCTTCGACAACGGTACAATCATCGCCTATTCAACAAGACTCTTCGAAAACGGAACAATTATCAACTATTCAACAAGATTCTACAATTACGGCACAAACATTACCTATTCAACAACCTTCTTCGATAACGGCACAATCATCGCCCATTCAACAAGATTCTCCAACAACGACTACAGCAAACGGATTTTCTTTATCTCAGCCAGAAAATTCTCCGAAACCAATACAGCATCGTCATACTGTGCCTATACAAAGGGCTCTTGATATTTTCAATTCACACCTTCCTTTGAATGGATGGAACTTTAATTCTGAAAATAAAACTGTAAAGATTTACGCAAAAGAACATGCCGGTAAATCTACACCTATCATGCGTGGAGACTCTGTAATTTCTGGTGGATTTACAACTTATGACATTTTGTGTGTCATTATAAACTTGGATACGCGAAAATTATGTAAGTTTATATCTGTTTAACAACTTCAAAAAAAAAATTATATATTTTTAACCATCACTTATAAACAGGGGACGATCGATATGACGAAGGTGCAACTTATGAGAGGTTTAGTTTACATGAACATTTAACTAGAACAGCAATGAAGGGCACGTTCCCTATCAGGTACGTGAATTTCATGAGAGGATTGTCTATCCTTATTTCGTAATCCATCAAATTGTTGACGTATTATATTCAATAAAATAGTGGACGTGATTTATCGGTATGCGGAATATTAGATTGTGAGGAAGATACTGGAACTCTTCAATTTGTCACCACATCTGTAGTTGACCCATTAATTCCGGAAAGCAAAAAGCATGTTAGATCAAATTTGAATTTTGCAGGATGGCGATTAGAACCTCATTTTGATGCCTACGGAAATACTACATCTGTTGATGTCACATACATCGTTGATATTGACATTAAACTTGATTCGGTTCCATCTTCTATCCTTAAGATGTTATCAAACCAAATACCAACCACTATTTCTAAAATAGATGAATTAATGCAAAAATCGGGTTTTCCTCCATATATTCTCAAGGCTGACACAAAGATCCTAACAGAAGAATTTAATATCAAAAATTATCAATATGATTTATCGTTACTCCCTGGAAGTGGTTGCGTAACGGAATTCAAAATTTCAAAATCGATGTATCCAAATGGTATTGACGTGTGTGTTTTACCTGAAAACTGTAAAGTTGAATTGTTGCCAACAAGTGCGGAAACTATTCGTGTAACCCTTCCATTAAAAGTTGCTTCGAATACTTTTACCATTACCGTTAGTAAACGTTCTAAAGGTTTCCAAATGACTTACAATAATGGGCAGGAAATTCCTTTGGCTATAGAAATTGATAGCGATGTCATTCCGATAAGAAAGGAAAAACCTGCTAAATCTAATCATAATACTATTAATGATACGATTTCGAATAATGCCACTTTTACAAATAATAATAACTTTGATGAAGCAAAATATAATAATCCGGTCACACCCGCCTCAAAAATAGATAGAACTGCTGCTCCCGAAACTTTCGGTAAATCATCGGAAGAAAAAATCAATAAGGATCCTACTACTTCAGCTTCAAAAAGCGAAATAATTTCTCCCGAAACTTTCAGTGTACCATCATCACAAGGTAATTTTGAAATTATCTTAATTGTTATTATTCAATTCGACATATCACTAAAATCAAATTCCTATTACATTTTTTTAGCATCATTAAAATTAGAACCATATCAGAGAATTCTTGAAGAGCAAACGAAGAAGGTGAATTATAAATATGTCACAAAAATTTATTGTTTGGATAGTTTATTCATTCATATTTTCTTTTCATTCAAATAGAAGATTGCAATAACTCAAGCGTCGCGTGATATCCAAATCGCACCAAATCCTTTAGGAGTTCCACCTAAAGAAGTTCCAGCTGTAGAAAAATTAAAGAATGAAGTGATTGAAAACAATACAGTAAATTTACAAAATTCTGACGATTTCACAATTCTTGCAAACTCGGCTCGTTTAAATTCACACCAAATTGGATTAATGTTTGCTTCAATGTTACTCGCATATTACGCAGGAAAACTGAGTACTTAATGTTTTTACAGTGTGAAGGGTCAAATGGCTGGGTCATATAACGAAGAGTTTTGTAATTTATATGTATATTCTTTATCACTTATCCCTAAATTATTATCTTAATTTCTAACTTTTGACCGATAAATTCCTTCATAATTAATAATATTTATTTTCCTCAGATATATATATATATTATATATTGATTATAATTTTCTCATTAAAATAAATAGAAAGACTATCACTAATAGTAGTTAAATAAGTTTCTAAAGCTTTAAAATATCTAAGTGGTATTCTAATAATAATATAATCAGAAAAAAAAAAAAAAAACAAACAAACAAAAACGAAAAATTATCAATTTTATTATCAAAACTAATTAACAATTATTTTTTATTTGAATAAAAAAAATGTTATAAATTATAATTTGAATATTTTTTATTAAATTTTTAAATTTAATATAGATAATTAATACATATGAAATTTGGAATATGAAAAGATCTTGTTACCTTTGAAGTAATATTTACTTTGTTTTCTATTATATGTATTTATTTTGGTATTTATATTTAATAATAAATAAATGCTTCATACTTTTAAATAAAATATACATCTAAATTTATTTCTATTTTTATTTTTAAATGCTTATTATCCCTTAAATGGTAATGATTTTCATTCAAATTTAGTCATGATTTTCAATCAATTATTATACATATAAACTTACAATATTATTTAATTTTTAGTTAAAATATGTTATAAAATTTATTATAAATCTATTACTTTTAAATAAAATTTCATTTTTAATAATTAAAATATTAAATATATACAAAATTTTTAACTTTAAATTTATAATTTTTTTATAAATAAATAATATTTAAATATATAAATAAATGTTTTAAATATAAATTTATATATTTTGTAAAGTTAAAAATTTTGTATATATTTAATATTTAAATTATTAAAAATGAAATTTTATTTAAAAGTAATAGATTTATAATAAATTTTATAACATATTTAACTAAAAATTAAAAAATATTGTAAGTTTATATGTAGAATTTTACATAATAATTGATTAAAAATCATAACTAAATTTGAATGAAAATCATTACTATTTAAGGATAAGGGAAAATGCTCGTTGCTGAGATAAGAAAGGTGATTTCGAAACTAAAGCCAATTTCTTAAAGTATATAAATGTTTATATCAATCAATAGAATATTAATATATATTATTATTATACTTTCAATGTTATAGGTCCAGTCAATGGTGAGAAGCTTGGAAAGACAAACCAATCGATTGTTAAAGATGAGAAGCGTGGAAGGATAAACCAATCAACTGTTGAAGATGAGAAGCATAAAAGGATAAATCAATCGACTGTTAAAAATGAGAAGCGTGAAAGGACGAATCAATTGACTGTTGAAAGTGAGAAGCGTGAAAGAACGAATTAATCAATCGTCAATGATAATAATCATAGAAGAAAATATGCTCAAAAAGATGACTTCTGCTTACCTTTACTCTGAAAGTTATGAAGATTCTTATGGTAATGTTAATGAGCTTAATAAAGCATCAAAAGATCATACACATAACTCAATATCTAATCTTATACCAATTTATGATCATATTTCAATTCAGATTCAGAAGATAACGTCAAAGAGAGTAAAATGATGGATAGTATCTTTCACAAGGTGTGTTCACTGGTTTTTCAATTGTATACATACGTATGATTCAATATTTAATACTGTAACAATTTATGATCATAATTTGACTCAGATAATGTTAAAAAAAGTAAAATTATAGATAGTATCTCTTTATAAGATATTTTCAATCATGTAATGCTAAAGGAATAAATCAATAAGAAATAAAAATTAATTTTTATAGTTTTCAAAAAAAGGGTCAAAGTCCAAAGATCATAATCTATCACTGCCTGATTCAGATGACAAAAAATCAAAGCCTCTTAAGAAAATTTATATTTCTGATTTCAATAAGTTGACATCGCAAAAGACAACTGGATCATGCAAAGACAAATTATTGAAAAGATCATTAATACAGACTCTTGTATTTAGTAATTTAACATATGTTTTATAAAAATGTGTTTATTTTATTTACTTAAAATTAAGTTATACTATTACTCAACTTTTATAATTATAGATAAAGTGAAATAAAACTACAACAAGCTATGCCTCGTAAATCCCTTCAAAATAAGCGTTCAATCAATGATGTTGATAAAACCAGCAAAAATAATAAAAAAATCATGACCACTTGATTTTAAAGATTTTGTATTTGTATATTAGTATTATTGTAATGTTATGTTCATAAAATAGTTATAATATGTATAACGTTTGTATAACGATTTTTTTCAATATATGTTCACAAATCAAACAAATATTATACATTTCTAATATAAAATAAATAAATGTATGACCATAAATTATTCAAATAGAGCTCATTTTTCCTTACATTTAACATTCATAATATAGTTATATTATGGTTATAATATGGTTATAATGTATTAAACTTATGTACATTTAATGATAAGTATACATAAATAAAACAGATAGTCAAATGCTATATATTTTATTAACATGGAAGTTTTATTAGGAGGAATAGACCTATTATTTCTGGATAGAGCATAATCTTCTTCTTCATCAACATTTTCATCTTTATTAGTAGAAACTCTAACATAACTAGCTTTTCTATTATTATTGTTATTTCTTTTTCGTATAGTTAGACTTTTAGATTCATAGTTCAAATAGAATGATATATTATCGTTCAAGTTAAATGATTTTTCATCATTTAAATAGAACTGAACATCATCATTCTAATAGAACAATACATTTATCATCATTCTTCTTGAACTATTTATTTATCGTTCTAATAGAACAATACATTTATCATCATTCTTCTTAAACTATTTATTTATCGTTCTAATAGAACGATACATTTATCATCGTTCAAATAGAATGGTATATTATCATTCAAATTGAATAATTTTTATTATTCAAATAGAACGATTTATTCATCATTCAAATATAATAATGCATTATTATTCAAGTCGAACGATTTTTTATCATTCAAATAGAACAATATATCATCATTTAAGTCAAGTGATTTTTTCATCTTTCTAGTTGAACGATATATCATCATTCTTCTTGAATGATTTTTTATTGTTCTAGTTGAACAATGAATCATCATTCAAAAAGAATGATTTATTCATCATTTTAATAGAATGATTCATTTATCTTTCTAATTAAAAGATACATTATCATTCTAGTTGAATAATATATTATCATTATAATTGAATAATATATCATTCGTTTCTCTTTAACTTTATTTTGTTAGTATTTTTTAGTCTAGAATTGCAAATCTAATTTATAAAGGACTGCAATTTTAGAATTGCAAGTCTCAATTTATATAGGTCTGCAGTTCTAGGACTATAAGTTCCAATTTATATAGGATCGCAGTCCTAGGACTGCAAGTATTAGGACTGCTTCTAGAATCCAGTTCTAAAACTTAAGTCCTATGGGACTGGATCTTATTTAAACTGGAAGTTTAAGACTGGACTAGGACTAAACTTGATTTTAACATCCCTAAAATTTTATTATATATATGAGAAAATTATTATGTATTACTACTGGTAGAGTTCTGTCAAATCGAATCAAAACAATTATTTAAGCAATTTGAATTTGATTTGATTTTTTCAAATAGAATCGAATCAAATCGAATTGAACTCAAATACTTGATCAAATCAATTTGAATCAATTTGAATTTGATCAAATCGAATCAAATTGAATCAAATATTTATTAAATCAAATCAAATCAAATCAAATATTAAACTTTTTTAATTTTTACAATGATATATTAAAATAAAGTTATTTTAAAGTTTTAATTAAGAAAATTATTAGTTATTGTACTAAAAAATTTCAAAGATAGCTTTTATAAATTAATTTAGTAACAGGTGAAATTTTTACTATTAAATTTAGACGTTGATCGTGGCAATGAATACTCTCTAACCAAAGATTGCGAATTTCTGCATTAATAGCCTTTTTATTTTTGTTGTCTGATTTACTTATAATGTATATTTTAATTAATTTTTAAAAAGGATACACAATTTTTTTTTGATCCTTAAATAATAGTAATTGTTTTTCTATTGTTAAATAGAGTTTTCACTAGAATTTTACAAATGGAAATCGAAATACAAATTTAGAAATTCAGATAATTTTACCTTTATAAACAAAATTTACCGATCTTTCCTTTTAGGGTTTAAGGAAAATATTTTAAATTGATTAACTTCCCTTTATAGTAAATCTTCAACATTTAAAGAAATAAAATCAAAACCATAGAAATTTAAACTGTTTGCTACATAAAATAATTTTAAATTTTATCTTGAATTAACGATTATCCAACTTTTGAAACTGCATATATAAATAAAAATAAAATAATATATATTGCTTTCCTTATTCTTATATTGCCTCATCTAGATCAATTGTTTGTTATTCTATATCTATTCCATAAAACAACAAGTTTTTAATAAAGTGACGTAGTAACTGTTGCTTTTGAAACCTAATATTTGAAAATAATTATACATTACCAAAAGAATAGTTTCAAAGATTTATATTTAATAGGATTTTTATCAATATCAGAAATTTTAAGCCCGAAACAATACTTCTAATTCTATTATCTAAAGCAAAAATGAAATTTGAATATTTTAATGATGATTTCTATTCGTACCCTAAGCTTAACGGTGGTGAAGAATAGATTTGCAGAATCATTCACAAGAACACTTAAATGGCTCAATTTGAGTTTCCTTGATCAACTATTATATTATCTTTGCAAACAAATACATTGTTGTACATATAAAAATAGAAGAATAAATGCTTAATTAGAACAAGTGACCAAATTCTCTACATTTGCCACATCTACGACTTTTTTTCATTATTTATTTCACTTTTATTAACATTTATGCTACCTTGAAATACATCTTCTTGTCACCCATGGGAATAAATCCAAATTTTACATTGATGCCAGGATAGAAAAGTTAGATTAGTTAGATTGTCAGCTAATGTTCTAATGTTATCATTATGTAGATAAAGAAAGGAATGTAAAATGGAAGAATAACAAAAGAAATAACAAAAGAAAGTTGCGAAGGTTATCATTATTGTTAAAATTTTATTACGTTTGTGTAATATGATGTAATTTGTTGTTATATTCACGTGATCATATCAGGTGGTAGAAACCAACCGGGTTGTTAAGATATTTACTATACCAAATATAAAAACGATAAAAGCTAAGCAGATTAATGATACAAAATATATTCAGGCAGGCATAAATAAGGTCAACAATAATCGGTAAATTTTGTTAAGGTACTATCAATTAGGGTTCCACAATTCGATTTGATATTTGAATATTTGATTTGAAAATCAAATCAAATACAAATTCAAATTTATATTTGATTTGATTT